CGCGGGCGCTGCAATAGGCCTCACCGGGCACGGTGAGGGACAGGGGGCCGCGGTGGCCTGCCGGAGCCGGCCAGCCGCGCTCAGCCACAAGGAAGCTGAAGGAAATTCCGTTAAAGGCGGCGATCAGTCCTCCCGGGGCGCGGTTTCGTCAGTGTGCTGCGGGGTGGGACCCACAGTCCCACGGGACACCTCTGGGGAGGGCGCACCAAGGAAAAGGGCGGTAGCCGCCCAGCCGCGGCCTCCTCCGGTTCTGTATTTTGTGCCTCATCGTTCGGCGAAGTGATACTCGTTCACAGGGCAGAGAGGAGGGAGGCAGGCTGGGGAGCCAGCCCCTGCTCCCCTGCCCTCGCCTCGCAAAGTAACATGGCCCCGTTTTCGTGACACGAGTGTGAACGGTTTTCTGAACAGGGGGTGATCCAGTCAGACCAGGCTGGGTAGCCTTACTGCACCAGCCTGAACTGATCCCGAAACCGCCAAATACTCTCCCAGCCCCATCAACCCACAGCATTATATTGACATATACTGACTTGAAATTGTAACATTCCTCAACATTCAATATCTGTATTATTTCTGTTTTTCATTGTTCCTATATTTCATTATATACGCACTATGAAAACTCCTCTTGTGGAAACACCATCGCTATCTTGCGTTCAAAAGTTCTCAAAGTCTACAGTCTCTAGTGACTGAAAGCTAGGTCCTGTTAGACAGCAGGAATCCTTCATGGAAATTGTCAACTAAATATGGCTACTTTGTAATGTCAGAGTCGGACAGTCTGAATTTACTTGCTAATTTGTCATCCTGAATTTGTGAGGGGACAAAAAAAAAAAATCACCAGAAAATAGGTAAGAGTTGTGAAGCGCTAGGGAACTAAAAAGCTAAAAGGAGATTTTAAAGTGGCTGATTACATTCAAAAATAAAATATTTACATATACAACTACATACATCTTAAAAAGTAGAGCTTCAAAATGTGGATAGAAACAAAGCTAAAGAATATACATCATTATTTTAAAAGATAATAGAAACTTGCATTTCTTTTCTAATCTTTACCCAAATAAAAGTATACAAAATTGATTTTTCCAAAATAGTGCCCTGTCTCTTTAAGCCTACTTTAAGATAAGTTTGTTAAAGAATGTTTATATTCATGTACAAATTAAACTTGAAAGATATAACATTCTGTTAAAAGCTAGGACAAACAAATTAATGGAAGTTGTAAGAGCTAAAGTTAGAAACAGTCCACCTTTCTTTTCCTTTTATCAAGACTTGCCAGTACTTCATCTGCACAGAAGTTCTCATATCACATTGCCAAATAGATCGACTTACATTCAGAGTGCCTGACTGTGCCCAACAAAGCATGTTCTTGGCATCTTTAAATATATACGCAGCACCTATTTTTGTATGTAGTCTAGGACATTTCTATGGAGGTATACTCTAAACCAGTAACATACCCCATCATAAACCTTGAACAGGAAGGATCAACAACAAAACATTAGAGATGTGCATGGACCACACTGGTTCACCTTAGCTCATCCACAAAGCAAAAAAGTTAACAGCAAAAGTCTCTCCCCACCCCTTAATTTCCGATTAGTTCATTGCAATTTATCAAGTCTCTGACCACACTGCAGAAATCTCAGTATGTGCACATTGGTTTTGGTGGTTGGGCTGAACTCCGAGCCATCAGTTTGCAAAGTCAAATGACTCCAATCACACTTATTTTGGTGGTTGAGGGAAGATCTTAAATGTGAGTCAGTTCCCACTTGTACTGTAGAAAAATCAGTTGATTCTCTATTCCCTAACCCACTATTAGAAAAGTCATAACATGCAGAATACTTATCTTCAGTGTTCTGTACTAGTACCGGTCCAGTTCTGGATCTACAACAGATTGTGGTGCCAAGCTTTAAAAACTAGGCTGGATTACTCCTTACTAACTTGAGAAATTGTTTTTCACTCTCTACTGCTTTAAAAAAATAGTATCTGTGCTCATCAGAAATGCTGCCGAGTTGAGGTTTCAAAATACTAACTTCTTCGTTTTGCTAACTTCAATAACATTTGCTGCTGATTGTCCCAGCAGGGTTACATATGATTATAAAGGCACAGGAATAATGATGTGGAAGAATATGGTATAAATAAGGAGTACAGAGTCAAAAACATAAAGGAAAGGAAGGGCAGAGACAGAAACTGCATTTCTTAATCCCCTTTTACCATTCAAAATACCATTCCATCCAGAAATGTAGTTTTCCTTGTAACAGAAATAACTATCATTTATCTCTGTGTAATTCAGCTCTTAGATGGTAACAACAATGAAGTAATATGTACAAAATTAACGTGAATTTTAAAATTCATTTGAGAAAAAAGCTACTTTGGATAACTTGAATGTCATGATCCCTAATTAAGCCCAGATTTTCTTCACATTCAGAAACTTGAGAATCTTTATTTGTAGAACTCTTAATACTTTAAATTGAAATGGTTCCTACCTTCACTTACACTGAATATAATCAATGTTAAAACTCACAGTGGTTTGATGCTATAAACAAACTTATTTTCTGCTTGCCTGGTGTAGCAGATGACAACAACAAAGTTCAAGCTGCTGAGAAGGAAAGCAGCTCCAAGTAGCTCTATGGACCATGTACAATCTCAGAATGAATTATTGCTAGCGTAGAAAAGGAGTACACGGTACATCCATACAGCTTTGCAAGTTCTGTAGAGTAATACAAAGCATGAATAGAAATAACTTTTCATACATGATCACATGTTTTTAAAGCCAAGGAAGACTTTGTGCAAGATTTGATTGCATTTATGTATTTTTAAAACATTTTTTTAATGTTTAAGAAGGACACCTAGCAGGTGCCAAACGGACATCCCTCATGAATCATGTTCTCTGCATAGGAGCATTATGAGCAGTTGTAGTGCAAGTTTCTCCAGCTGTGAATTACAGCTTCACCTGAATGGACTGGACTTCCTTCACTAAGGGAAGAGGATGGCCAAATCCTCCTGGAATTCCAACTCTTGACATGTTTCCTAAGCCTACTAACAGAGTAAACCATACACTTCAGCAGTGGCTTCCACGTTGTGCATCTTGGCCACAAAAATCTGGCCTTTTGTAATAAAGTACAAAATAAAAATAGTTCAATCACTTCAATTATATTGATCCTAAAAGATCTTCTGTTTCTACATTAATCAACTATCAATTCAGAAGGACCTATCATTACCTTGAAAACACTATTAAACAACATGTGAATAAGATCTTTTGCTCTTACCTCAGCTGATTCACACTTCTCTCAATCTACACTGTCCAATTCCCAAACTCGCAGAAGTCAGCCATGGAAGGAACAACTGCTGTCTTGATGTCACTAAGTCTCTGGTTTGGCCAGAGGACCCAACATACGTAGCTGGTGTGATGCTCAAGCTACTACTATCATTACGCTAATATGGCAGCGTGTGATCATAACATGGACTATAGCATATATGCTAAAAACCCCCACGATTACTCTATTTCCCAATCAGAAAGAAATGTTTTAATTAAACTACAATGAAAATATTTAGATGCAAAATTGCTTCTGTTTTTCTTTACTGTGGTTGTATCTTATCAATAGACCTCTCTCAATAGGTTCCCAACAGCTATCACAGAAAATTTGAAAAGATCAATGATACAAAGTTGAAGTAACTATTTTCTAAGTCATAGATTTGTCATTAACTTTGATAATTCAGTTCTTTGTAACTCATCATATTCTTTTTTCTCTTTTTAAACCATCATGGCATTTCTTAATCTTAATAACTGGGACTAGGCGTAATCCAGAAAAGTTTAAAATTAAAACTGCTTTTTGTAAAACTTGAAAATAAAATGTATACCTAGTTTTCCTTTGATAATACATTGCATTTTTATACCTTTTGCATGGATGTTTAAATTTTTAATACATCTGTTCCTAAAATTAAAAAATTCTAAAATTCAAGCACATTTAATTTCTGCTATGTAAAATGTCAACTGCCTCTAAAATAGAAGTAAAAAAAAAGCCAGTTGTAGTCAGTCTTTTTTTAAATTTACAATATTTGCCTTGTCATCTCTAATTTTTCTTAGCAGGGATTAGATGGCAACTGGATGCAATTCTCTTCAATTTTAAGAGCTCCTAAGAGCAAACTGCGACACAGATTATAATTCTGTTTAGGTCCTGTCAAAATGTCACACATTTGCTGTATGCCTGCAAATTCAAATATAAATACACTGATATCAATAATTTGGCAATGCTAGTTTTAACCTTTAACCATTCCTGCACTTAATTGCTTCATGATGCTCTAAAGCAGTTTTTCTTGCACAACTGGGAGGGAGGCAGCAAAACAAGTGGCTCAAGTATATAGGAACTGCTCCAGATGCCTATGGATAGAAAAAAGTCAGTACAATATCAAACATGGTCATTAAAACAATTATGATCCCTTCCTTTAGTCTTTTCTCCTCATGTAAGAAGCCATTGGGCATAATCAGCTCCTCTGCCAAGCGTGCCAGTTCAAATGAGATGCAGCTCTGAATTTATTCCAGAAGACTGGGATATCCTTTGATAGAAGAGAGATTGCCAACATGAAACACTGTTTTCAGTATTAGGATGAAAGAGATGTTTTGAAAACCAATTATTTCAAAATAGAAAGGAGGTAACTTCTGATTTAGTATACCTTTGCTTGCTTTGTCTTGTCTACTCTTAAAAATAAAATGCATTTTTACTGTGCAGTGCCAAAACTTACATTAGCAGTGAAAGCTGCAGAGCAAATGTGATACAGGTACCTTTAACTCTGTCCATATTGCTTTATAGAAATAAAATAATAGTTTCCCAACTCTAATAATTAGTTTCTTGGCTATTTTATCACCTAGAGAGCTGTATAAAAATTTTCAGGCTGTTTTGGAGAAATACTGTTCTGGCACTCTAGAATTCATCTGTTCCCTACAGACACACATGACATTAAGGGGGTTGCACATGGAAGAGTGTCA